ATATCGTTCGATAACTACTTTTCGTTTCACGCTGCGCGATGCTCACTTTCAGCCAAAGATCAACAGTTAGGGGTCGAATTATATCCAATGTCATGTTGATTGCCATGTGATCTGGACTAATGCGTGCCGCATAATTTGAGGCATATTTGCGTCCAAAGTTGGTGAAAACCTTGCGAAAGTGTAGCGAATTAAAGGCCTGGTGAGTAAAATAAAGAAAATAAATCCTTACAAATTAAACTGAATACGATTTACCTTACGCCCAACGGCTAGTTGCGTAGCATGGAATATTAAAACTATAACTAAGATAACTCTAGCTTCACGAGGCATATTTTCGCTCCGAACGAGTTCTGTTTCGCCAGAATGTCATAACGTTTTTGATGACAACCCAATAAAATTCAATCGCACAACAGATCTTCTATTTTTATTATAATGTCATGAATCATTAGCCTGTACACTACAAAAATTTTAGCACCCACTTTTATTTACTTGCAAATACTTGTTTACCTAAACAATAGTGAGATCATAGATAAGAAAATAATACCTAAATCGGTATTCAAATAATTAAATTAATTTGCTACATATATATTATTATTGTAGCATAGTATAGTATTATATAGTAATAATATAGTAATATTAGTTTTAGTAATAATATATAAGCGAATATAAGCCATCTTCGATGTTTATGTTTAAAAGTAAGTGACTTTGATAGTTTTCCTTAGTATCTTTCAAATATTGAGGCGCGTTTTCACTCAAGTTTATTACCCAGTTGGTTAGATCGTGGGTGCGCACCCTACGAAGTGTCCATCGCAAATATGTTAGAGTGAGGGCTAATATTGGGAACTTAAAATCATTTCTTGGGCCCGGTTACGGACACACCAAGGTGCCTCAGAACTTAGTCTTAGAACCTTGCCTGGCATATCGTTGTGGTAACGAAGATAAAATATATGTTGACAAATAGTAGATTTGCGATACCACATAGAAATATTAGCGAAGACATTGATATTCACATAACAAATAATAAAAAATAAGCATACTAGAGATAGTCATAAATATATTTAAAAATAAACATATTTCTTAGACAAGAACTTTGTTTTCGACCATTCAGGCAAAAAATATATATTCCCTCTAAGATCTTTCCGTTCGCTTTTAAACATATTTTCCAGGATCTCTTCGTTCATTGTAAAATATATATGCATATAATAAAAACGTTTCATATTTGAACATTTTGTTAACGCAAACTCAACTTATTGTCCTTTTTTAAAACACTTTAAAAAGTCAACAATTATTACTTCTTATTCATTATTGCTTTCACAACTTTTCGAGCGTAAAAAATACAAATGAAATTGAGCAAACAATTGCACATTTATTTGCTGCATAAATGGCGTGAACATTGTTAATAGCCGTAAAATTACAGCAGAAATTTATGATGGCGGAATAAAATTGAAAAGCTTTCTGAATGCAACGCGGCAGTATAATGGGACAGAATATTGTTAATAAGGTAGTGCAGCACAAAAAAGATTGATCAACGTTTGGTTTACTAAAATTTGGATATATTGGAAGGGAGCAAATAAAACTTAGCATAGTTTGACAAATTGCGATAAGGGGAACAGGACAGCAAATTGGAGAGGAGCAGAAAATGAAACTGTCAAAACCAAGGAAAATTCATTGACAGCTGCAATTTGGAAAAGTTTTTTTTGCCAGAGAGTGAAAAATGGGGAATGAAGATGGCTGTGCAGTGCCTTGATCGTATCGTGCGGCAATTAGCATTTTGTGGCAATGTTGCACAATAATTTAACGAGCCAGCCAGAGCAGCGCAGCGGGAGCCTTTAGGACGAAGCCACAAAAAAGATGCCTGCAATTGTGCGAAGGGCGGCAAGACGATGTCCAAAAAAAAAAAGAGAAAAAAATTATTTGATTATCCTGCGGCCATGCGCTGTCACAATTTCGCAGACTGCCCGCCGAGCGTGTCCGGGGTCCGCTTCGTTTTGCAGCTCAGGTCCCACAGTTCCAGCTCGTCCTGTCCTAGCAGCAGCACGAAAACTGCCACATCAGCAAAAGTCTGTTAACTTCCGGTTTATGGTTGCAGCAGCTTATGGAGTCATTTCCGCTGGCTCGTCTTGCCCATTCATTCGGCTCAGCCAACCAGCTGGCGGTGCCCGCAGACCATTCTATTAAATCATCATTTCATTTTGTGCTCGCTTCATTTTTTTTGTTATTTTTTTTTTTTGTCGTGCTTCCATTTTCCCCTTGCAACTCGGTAGCAGGACAGCGCACTGCGCTTGCGGTAATTTTTTTCAAGTGCTTCCTTAGATTTATAATTAAGATTTGGTTAGCAGCAATAGCGGCTCTTTTTGAATTTATGTGCCGGCAAATGTTGCCTGACTGCGGCGGCAGCGGCAGCGGCTACGTCTGCGTCTGTCCTGGTTGCCCGGCTACTGCAGGCGCCTCTAAAAGCGGCAATTTATCATATTTCTATCGCCCGTCTCCTCCGAGCTGCAGCTAGAGTGAGAAAACTACAAGGTAAACTTTACCGGAGCAATTTAATTACGCTGATAGGTACTTACCTGCGAAGAGCGAAAAGATATGGCTATAAAAGCAACATTATTATTAGACCGGTACATTCTACCCTTCCATTCAGTTTGCACTTTTGTCCTCATATGAATGGATAATAATTGAATGTTCTAAAGATAACTCCGAATGTCTCTGCCGATCTGTCCGTCAATAAGTATGTGTCGATCTTAGATGCATAACAAATCAAAAAGCCAACAGCGAAGCTATTTTCGAGGTAGCAAAGATAAATAAAAAAATAGCCTTCGGCCCATTTTCTTAATGTCGTGTTAAGTGCTTTTTTCACAATTAATTCGAGCTTAGCACAGTTGATATTCACAATAACTGGGTTTCTCTCAAGAGCTCGAATATGAGTTGTTTTTATGAACAATTTACTTTTCGACCGATTATTCCCGTAGATCCTGATTATTTCCATAAAGTTTTTATAAAAGAACTTTATTCTTCTACACATATAATGAAAAAATGTAGTTCCCTTTACAAACGTATGAAATTGGAGAGACCACATAAAATTTAGTATATTAAGCACATATATCTATCGGTATTTAGCATACTAGGGATGATCTGATAAAAAATGTATAAGTGCGAGGATCAACTTTCCCAATTCGAAGTTTTTAGCCCTGCTCTGTTAATCATCTTATTGACAACTATTTTTTGTTTAAGACATTATTTAAAAGGAAATACGCTTGAAATACCGGTCATATTTTCATTTTTCGTTTGGAAAATAAAAAGCAGTTAATTCTACAGCTCAAAGAGTCGCACACCAACCGCCTCTTTGCTGACAGTTTTGTCTCACTCCTTGTTACCAACTGTCGCTCAGCAAGTTAATGAGGAACAACAGCAGCATCGCCTTTACGTGAAGCTGCAGAAAAGTTTTGCTCAAGTGGCATTTTTCCATTTTCCACATACAGGCGTTCGCGTTTTAACTCGAAGCGGCAGCTGCTGTTGGAATAAAGACGATGATTTCGTTGATTTGAATTGTGATTAAAATGCAGTGTATAATTTTTTGGCACGCCTTGCCAGTCTGAGACAGCCGGAATGTGCGGCCCAAGAAGTTTTTGCCTCGTTTCACACTTTGTCAGACTGTGCTAAAATTCAGGACGAGATCGGGATCGGGAGCGGCAGCGGGATGAAATGCGGCAAGGGAAGCCAAAGAAAAATTGCAAACCGCAACTCGTGTCGACTTGCCGCTCCAGCTCGACTTGATGTTAGAATAATGAAGAGGCAAAACTTTTGCGCTAGGCATGTAATTTTTCGATGTGACAGCCGGCGAGGAGAGACCACCAGCCACCCAGCTACCCCACGTACCGGAAACGGTAGTTGTCATTCGTTTTCTGCATTTGTTACAAAGTTACATTAAAAAAAAAACAAGAGAAAGAGAGAAAGGTAAAAAGGGAGAGAAACACACCCACAACTGCATAAAAACTTCTGTTGTGCAAGATCTGAAGCGACTCGTGCATTCTTATTATTCGTTCCTTTTTACTAACTTCCAGTTAGGCCTAACACTTGCAGCGCTCGCAATATGAGCGCCAGTCCTGGCCTCAGTTCCAGTATTCCCCACATCAGCGCATAAATCACGGCCGGCCCAAGCCTAGGCCGCGTTATAAATGCGAACAATGACACAATTGATTGGCCAATTACGTGCGCTTCGGGGTGATTATGACGTTACGTACCGTTAGCCAGCCCACTCGTTTGCCGTTGCCCTGCAACTGAATGTGAACCTGAACCGGGCGCTAAAGTGGGCTGGGCATGGAGCTGCCCATGGGGGTGACCAGACGGCGTGCATGTCATGCCTGGCTAAATTTACACAATTAAATGCGTGAAATTCGTTTGAATAATTGAGCAATTTTTCTGTACATGGCGGGGGCCACAACAATTTGGGCATATAGCCTCAACAAGCTGTTTGTTTTAAAGATCTTGGCGAAATTTAATTGAAAATACACACACAAAAAAGGGACAACTATTAACATATTATGACCCATAACCGAATTAAGATATGGCATCTGTATCATCAGCTATATGGGCCTCTCATAGCCGTAAATCACAATTGAGTCCACTAAACGAAACCATTCAAAAAATGTTGTGTGTGAAAAACGTCGCTAAGGACTAAATCCAAACGTTGAAGACTGCCCGAATCCTGTGCGTCCATAATGTGCTAGCATGGAGTTGCGTTAAGGTTCAGCACGGAAAACTGAATGGATGGGCAAAAAAAAAAGGAGAATTTTTCGCAACTTTATTGCCAATGGCCGAGGCGAGGCAAAGCCACAGCTAATTTATTTGCAGGCTCGACCATCTATGCGACACAGCAGCGCAGAGAACACAGAGAACGTCATCCTGGCAGGCACTTCATTGTGCAGTGGCTCGTTTAAAATGCTGATTCAGTTTCATCATTAACCAGATTAATATGGCTTCGCGCTACCACGGACAGGCGCAATATGGCAGCCGGAAGCCCCATGCCGCATCTGCAGTCCGTTCTCAAATTGGTAATCGATGTCCATCCCGGGCATGTTCTAGTCATCGCCAGTCTCCCGCATGAAGCTGTCCTTGCCAATGGCCATGTGGTCATCCTCATCGCCACCATTATCGTTGTCCTCATTGCAGACACTTCAAGTTTATCGCATTGCAGTTTGTCGAGCGTCACGCGGCGTATGCGAAATATTGGGCCAATGAATTTTTATGCGAGCCGTGTGCATCGCGTAGGGCTTTAGATAATTATGCAACGAATTTCTGGCTAATCGACCAAACCAAAATGGCGTTGTGGCTCTTTAATCAGGCAAGTGTTTTGCTTAAATTTCGTTCGCTGCTATTTTTGATCAGTAAACACTTGACAAAAGAGAACCTCTTCGGGTAGATTATGGAGCATCAGTATATTGATACCCATTCCCTGATCCGCTTTGGGTTCGCTGATTGCAATTTTAGACATTTCCGGCGACTTCTCGTTCTGAGCTCTGTGGCCCACGGTTTACTTAGTATCTCTGGCAGCAGCCGCGTGGAATTGTGATAATATTTGCCCGAAAAAGTATTTAAATTTTACTCAAAGTTGGTTGCTAAGAAAGTATTTTTTTTTCGCTCTCTCTCTTCCCGCTCCCCACTCTGAATTGTAAATGGGGAGAGTGCGGTGGAGGCGGTGCAATCACAGTTTTCGACATTTTACGAAATTGTATCGGCGTCAAAGTTTTCCTTTACTTATTTGTTTGACTACTGTTTTGGTTTTACTCCTTTTTCGCTTAGCGTGAAATAAGAAAACTTTTTTATTTAAACAAATTTTTAGCGTAGGCACGCGTGGCATTTCGTTTAAAGTTTGTTTTCGCTTCCAGGACAAAACCCTCGAGTTTCCCCTTTAGTTGGTTTGCAGTTCAGTTTATATTTATTTTATAAAGCCCGGCTTGCACGGAGCGGTTGGACTTTAAAACATATCGGTCACAATATACAATGTAACATTCAAATTTCAAAATTCAAGTACAAGGTCAGACACAGAAATCCTTTACAAATCTGATATTATGAACCATATGAGAATGAAGTTCTTAGATGAGAAAGATGAACTGTGACGGAAAGATATTCGTTTAGGAGTAGATCGACTGGACTGTTAATTTTGAATAAGCATGGCCATACTTTGTAGGGTCTTCAGTGTTTCCTTCTTCTTATAAGGCGATCATTCGAAAAGTTCCACTCAACAGTTCGACCTGTAAGGAGTCTTTTTTGCCCAGAAAGCTGGTTTCAACAAACATTCAGCCAGCACAAGGGGCTTTTACTCATCTGTAAAATATACTTCCTTTGATCATATATCTCAATTTTCGCAAGTAATATGGATTTACTAAAGCGTAGCAAAAAGAAATCGCTAGTTCCCAATCAAACCAAAGGCTTTTTCCAAGTAGTGTTTTGCATTTAGAGCCAACTTCAACTCGTTAGCCAGCTTAAATTTGATCTGATAAACAGGCAGTCAAAAGTACAAAGGTTTACCGGGCTGAACCTCATTCTATTCACACTGCCAGATTGCCAGACAGCCAGATAGCCAGCCAGCCAGCCCAGTCAGACGAACAGGCGGAGAGGCAGCATGACAGTCAGATACATTTGGCTCGAACCGACCAATTAAATTTCACCCGCATCAATAATCATGAAAGCAAAAATTTCCAAAGCGGCCGCATGCCTAGGAAAAACTCGAGAACGTGTATATCCGAGTCGGAAAGCCTGCAAAATGCCACATAAAATGTAAGCGCGAAATTAATAGGCACGTGGTGAAGGCGGCGCCGCGTTAGACTTGAAGTCGACAAGCGTGTAAATGATATAAATTCAATTTAATAAAATTGTTAAAATCGCAACGAGCGAACTGTGAAAATGCTTTGCGCGCAGGTGAGCTGAAAATATCTGAGAAGTTGTACTGGCAGGCGGGCTTTCCTATCTGACACTAAACTTAAGGGGGAAAGGAAACGGAACGGGAAATACCCGTGCAAATTCCTAGACATTATTTCACACAAAGTGGGTAAAGTTGCTCTCTTCTGTTGTCTGTCGACTATTGGTCTGGCGCTGCGTCGTTGTCACCGTTGTTATTGTCACGTCTAACTGCGACAACTGTGATGCTGCTCGAGGATGAGCCACTCGACCAACGGAGCTTTGATATTACTTCAAGGGACAAGCGTGGATTTCATTTGCTCGCTTTAATATAAGGATAATCGCATAATTTTTAAGACCCGTGGACACCACGGCTAGCTAATAGGGCTAAGGACAATTGAATTGGGGCTTCTTATTACATATAATATTTGTCGAAAGTGTATTGCTAAATGGTGTTTTGTAAACGTGCACGTGACTTTGAGTACAATTTGCGGGGACAGGTCCTGTTTTGAGTTTATTTGATGTGTTTCAATTAAATTTTAAATTGAAATGGAATTGAATTTGGCGGAAGTCGTTAGATTTAATAACTATAACTATCTTTTATTGTATTGTCCGGGCAGCCTTCTCGAAAAGTACCTTCAATTGGAACAAGAGCAAGTTATCTCTGCTATACTTATGTATATGGCCAACGCTTCCGTTAGTACTTAAAAATCCAACTCATCCTGAACTCATTGGGAAGTGCTTACCCCACAAATTTCATGCAATTGCGGCCCTCTCCGCCCCGCTGCTGTGGCTGCGGTTCTCTTCATGTCTAATTTAGCGACATTTTATTGTACTTTTCGCCGCAATCGCTTTCCATTGTTAAAATACAATTTTCTTGTCGCATTTTAGTCAAGTTATTTTATTTTATTCTTGTTGGCCGCAAAATGTTTCTGGTCGAGTACTGCTCGCCGCCTAAAAGCAGGCAACATGCATAGGACACAGATACTCGTACTGTGCCAATGGCAATGTTGTCTGTCGTTTGCACATTTTGGTAAATTTTGTGTGTACTTTGCGGACACACTTGGTCTATTCGCGGGCATGAGTGCGGGCGAGGCCAACTCTCTGCTATGTCTGCTGTGCCTCCACATTACTCAGACACAGTGGCTGCGAAAGCGACTGCGGCTTTGTATGCACTTCTTTCATGAGGTCTCTTAAGATAGTGCAAGAATTATTGGCAAGCAATGCGGTTTCTGTGAGTATGCTCGTGTGGGTCCTGCATGGCCCCGCTTGAGTGTCGCATATGTTTTATTAAAATGAGCTCAAATTTCGCTTTCAATTTGCAGACAATTTTAGCAGTTTTTTGCATAGGCAGCTGCCAGCCATCGTCAGCTGCTGATTTTGGCCTTGTTTCACTGTTTGAAGGGGTTGTTTTCATTAAAAATGCGTCAACTTGACAGAATGTTGTAAAGAACACTTGCATGCCATAAGTAATACACAAGCAGCTTCCTTATACATAAAAATCGAATACATTTTTTATACTGACTAAAAGAAAACTTTTTAAGCTTGGTCTCCGACCACAGCATCAACAGCCGAGCCGATCAAAGTTTGTCTGTCTCTATGAAGGCGTCGATCTTAGGCTCTATAAGAACTAGAGACTACTACAAATTATTTTTCCAAAATTAATATATATCGACTTTTCAGCCGGGTCGTAAGATCTAGAAGTATAATCGGAGTACTAGAACAAAGCTCGTCGTACGTTTCAGCAATTGCGTACTCAGAACAGGTCATCTAATAATAATTACGGAGGGGTCCAAAAGTGGATGAATAATAGACAACGATTGTATGCCACTTTTTCATCCGATTGTCTTCAAACCTATTGTCAAAGACCTTTTATTCAATCGTCCACATTGAAGGAAAATAATACGTTTACGTGACGTGCCTAAGAAAAATCAAACCCCACGTTTGGAAAATGGGTAGTAAAATGAAACTTTTATCTGAAATCTAAATGCCAGCTACTGAAATCGAAAAAAAATATAAATCTTCATCTATGCGTTACATATTTTGCTACAAAGTTAACATACTCTCCATTAACGAATCAATATGAAGAGTATTGATATTAAGTGCGAGTACAAATGCTAACGAGCTCTCAATAACAATTACAAATTATAAGAGAAACTAATCGAACCGAGTTGCAACTGCTTTAATTTTGATTTAAACTGTCGAACATTCGAAACTATGCAAAATAAATTGGATAAGAAAATGTAGCCTTAACGAGCAGTTCATTAATATTTATAACAGAGCGTCAACAGCTCTGTATGGGTGTGTTTGTGTGAATGTGTGTGTGTAAAAGTATGTGGTACGGTAAAGAACAAAGCGGCCAAATTAATTTAACGCCAACGCCATCGCCATCAGTTGCAACTAACAACAGAAAAAACATGGGGAAAGGAAATCAACTGAGGTCAGAGATAAAGAACCGAAAAAAAAAACAAACTTTTCTTTTTCTCTTAATTTCAACAGCTAGACAAAATGGCGTTGAGCATACCAATGGCAATGGCAATGGCAAAGGCAACGGCAGCGGCATAGGCCAACCCTCGTTGTCTGTATAAAGCGGAGCACAATCCGCAATAGTGCACATTGGCACACTTGATTGATTTCATTTTATATACGATTTTCCAATTACAGAAGCGCTAAAATCAGCAGAAAATCAGATGGCGCACAGTGGGCAAAAACAGTCACTGGCAAAAACAGACACCGAACATACTATGGAAAATATATAGTACTGATTAGAATATATTACTTAAAATACTGACTTTTGGCTTAACGGATTTTAAGCAGACATTAATCAAATAGATATGCATTTTGCGTATTATTTTGTTAAAATAATTTTTAATGAATTTTATTTATTGGTTTCAAAAGTATATCAACATCTTCGAGATTATAAGAGCACACTCCGAGCTGATAGCCTTGACGCTAGCGTTCTTTTGTTGTAATTAATTATAGTATTATTTATAATATGAATGCATTATAGTGAATCTTAATAATAATAATAAATGAGCACACTCAAGAGCACCCACTGTACTCGCTACCAAAGCCAATGAAGACCAGCCATAGTGGCAAATAGTATAATCTAAGTTGAGCTGTGTGTGTTCGTTTGGGTCTCGATTTTCAAAAGCACAAAGCAACCAGCCTAATTGCGGAAGCAATGCGCCGGAGAATTAGTTTTCTATAGCCGACCACAAGCCAGGGCGTATACGTAATACAGAAATTTAACTTTTATTTGATGCCCGGTTCACTCGTTGCCCTCCTAGCTGCGACTGTAAAATGCCATGAAAATG